GATTGTGGAATGAGAAAAAACGCTGACGCCGTAGCAATATATAAAACTTTCACTATCGGATCAACAGGCGCTTCAGTTCTCCACAGAAGAGAATGCAAAAATTCTTTGGGAAAAAATAAAGTCAACAACATTTACGGGACAAAGCCGAAGATCGAAAAATAGATGCTGGTAATGAGTTAAAAAATTTAGAAATGAAGTTGCATGAGTCGGCTAATGATATATATCGCAAGAGCGAGAGGAATAGCAACTAAGTGTCAATCGCTAGCTCTAGGACTAGATGTATCTCCTCGGGAACTGGTGTTTTACACAGTCCGTGGACTTCGTGGAAAATTTTCTCGAATTAGGGAAATTGTAAAAACTCAGCGTGAAAAAACTATTGATGAAGTACTCGAGATACTCCGTGAGGAAGAGTCCGTTCACAATTCAACGAATGGGAAACGACCTGATGGAAACAACGCAGAGGCGTTCATATCAAGAAGGAATAAAAACTATAAGCCAAGAAATTGTTACATTTGCCGACGGCCTGGTCACATCGCGAAGGACTGCTATTACAGAAACAAGAATCCAAAAAGTGAGTTATCCAAAGGTAACAAGGAAAGAATGAAGTTACAACCTACAAGTGTGAACGTTTCATCTCGTTCTGGTGAAAGAGAAAATGATTTTGCTCTTCAACTTACGCGTGGAAAAAATGATGAATGTGATAAAATTTGGTTGCTGGATAGTGGTGCAACCGGACACATGGCAAAAGACTTCTTTTGGTTTCAGAATATTACACCAGAGGTGAGGGAAATTTACCAGGCAGGTAAACACTCAAAAATATATTCAGAAGGTATTGGTACTGTTAAAGCAAAAGCTATAAATACCAAGAATTCTAGTTTTATTAATTTAACTATTAGTAATGTTAGTTATATTCCTGATTTAAGAAATAACTTATTGTCACTCACTGCCTTAATGGATAAAGGATGTAAAATTGAATCAAGGAATAATTCTGTATTAGTTTTTAGTAGGTGTAATGAATTACTTTTTAAAGCATTTAAGAATAACGGTAGGCTTGAAGTTAATTTAGAACCATATTATAATTCTGAATCTTGCATTGCTAATGATTGTACTGGTAATAATTATGAACTTTGGCATAGTAGATTGTGCCATTTAAATCCAAAATATATGCTTAAAATGAAAGAATACATTGATATTAATGATGTAAGTGATTTTAAGTGTGAAACTTGTGACATAAGTAAAATAACTAGAAAAAGTCATCCAAATATTGACATTAATCAGAGTTCAGAAATTTTAGAATTAATTCATTCGGATCTATGTGGCCCTGTTCAAACTGAATCAATTGGTGGGTCTAAATATTTTATGATCTTAGTGGATGATTTTTCTGGAATGTATTTTACTTATTTTCTTAAAAGTAAAAGTGAAGTGTTTGACGCATTTTGTAAATTTAAAGCTAAGTATGAAAATTTAACTGGTAAAAGAATTAAACGTTTGAGAACAGACAATGGTTTAGAATTTGTAAATCAACAATTAGATAATTATCTTGCTAATTCAGGTATTTTTTCATGAAAAAAAACAATTCCATATAACAGTGAGAGTAATGGGAAAAAGCTGAACGAGCAAACAGAGTTCTTTTAGAAAGAGCTAGGACATTACTACATGAGAGTGAGCTTCCGGTAAAATTCTGGGCAGAAGCAATTAATTTTAGTACTCAAGTATCAAATTTAACACCCCGGAAAGGAAAAGAAAAAATTCCTTTAGAAATTTGGACTGGTAAAAAAACCCAAATTAAACTATCTAAAACAGTTTGGATGTGTGGCATACTTTCACATTCCGAAAGTAATGCGAAACAAATTTGACATACCAGGGAAAAGAGGGATAATGTTAGGATATGCTAGAGAAAGAATAAGGATATCGTATTTTATGATATATAGCAAGTAACAAAATAATTGAAGAACGATCAGTTAAATTTAACGAATCTTTAAAGGGTAGTAGTAATTATATGGGAAAAAAATAAAACCTTAGAAACTTGGGATATTGAAGAATTAGAAAAGAAAGGGAAACGAATTAGATCAAAAACCACACCTCGAATTGGTTGTTACGGAAAATACTCAAGCAAGCGAATATGACATGAATCGAAATCGACGAAATTTCGAAATCGGCGACATGAGCCTTGTAGCGGGGGAATGATGACAGGGGAAAGTCCAAAATCTGATAGCTATGAAAAAAGTAATAAATATGATGGAAATGAAATACCATTAAGACGATCCGAGAGGCTCAAATCAAAACAACTAGCGTCAAGTATAATCAGTAATGTTCCGAATGATTTTTCAGAAGCAAAACAAAGTGCTAATTGGTATGACTGGAAATCCGCAATGGAAAATGAATTAGATTCATTACATAAACACGAAGTGTGGGAAATAGTAGAGAGGCCTGAAAAAACAAAATTAGTAAAAAGTAAGTGGGTGTATACTTTGAAGGAAGGAGACTCTGGGGAAGTAAAATATAAAGCGCGATTATAGTAGCGGCTGGGTTTAATCAAATAAAAAATAAGGATTATACCGAATCATATTCACCAGTAGTTAACATTGAATGTTTTAGATTATTGCTTGCACTTTCAGCTAAATTAAACTTGACTGTTAATTTTTTATGATGTAAAAACAGCGTACTTGTACAGTGACTTAAACGAGGATGTGTATATGACTCCTCCACCTGGTTATGAAAAACTGATTGGAGAAGGTAAAGTATGTAAATTGAAGAAAAGTATTTATGGGTTGCCTCAATCCGGTAGAAATTGGTATATGAAAATAAAAAATGAATTAGAAAAACTTGGGCTGGTACAGTTAGCATCTGATAATTGTATATTCATTTATAATGATACCAAAAACATTTTTATATTGTGTTTGTATGTTGATGATTTAGCTGTATTCTGTAATAATAAAGAAATGCTTGAAAATATTGTTTCTAAAATAAAAAATGTATTTGAGTTACATGAAAATACTAATTCAAAATTTTTAGGAATGCAAATAGAAAAACTTGAAAATGGTATATGTTTGTCTCAAACAGAATATATTGAATCTTTATTGACTAAACACAATCTGGAAAATTGTAAAGCAGTGAAAACGCCAATCGTTAAAGGGGCAGATAAAGGTTTTTCATGTACAAATGAAAAAAAAATTGATGCAATTTTGTATCAGGAATTAATTGGGGAACTTTTATATTTAGCGAATAGAACACGTCCTGATATATCATTTGTAACAACTTATTTGTCACAATTTAATCATGTACCAGAAAAAAGGCATTATCTTTTGGCTAAAAGGGTATTAAGGTATTTAAAAGGTACAAAAAATAAAAAACTTTTCTATAGCAATGATTTTGGAGTTTTTAATGCATATGCTGATGCTAGCTGGGGAAATGCAGAAAATGGTAAGTCATTTTCTGGTAGTACTATTTTACTAGGTGATTCATTAATTTCTTAATGTAATATGTTATATATTGTTTGTATTTCATTTTTGTATTGAAAAAATGTTGCTCACAGGAGGGGTGTGTTGGGTAGAGGCGAGCGAACGTTTTTTCTTATGCGCATGCGTATGATGGCGCAGCTGTCTCTTCTACCGACACATCCGTCATTCGAGCTTCGAGCGTAGGGAGATGCTGATATGTTATTTGCTGTGTGATACTCAATATGATTTCCTGTGTGATATCTTTATTCATTATTCATGTAAATAAAGTGTGTTGTCCTACGATGGCTTCTTTACTCTAAATATTGGCCTCTGAACAACAGTTTTAACAAACAGAAGCAACACTCTTTACAGACTTTTTGTCTTCTTCAACTCAAAGAAGGCTGTACTTCAAATCAATTAACATTGATACTATATGAAACTGATACTCTGAAATAAATTTGACTTTTATATCACTTGTCCTTCTTTGTGTTGTACAGTACAAAATCCGTAATCCGGACTCATTAGGACTTCGACGATTCTGGATTAGGGGTTTTTCCAGATTATAGATCATCAATTTAAATCTGGTAAGATGGCATGCAGAAATTGTAAAATTAAAAATATGAAACCGTAATTTATGAAATAAAGAGCAATTATGTTCTAAAAAGTATCAAAATTTACAAAAAAAAAAAAAAAAAAGCTTAATATTTATTTGTTTACTTTATTAAACATTTCTTTCAATGTTATTCTTTCAATGTCTTCTTTCAAAAGTTATTTAAGTTGCTTTGTTTTTTGTGCTAATACTTTATACTTTTGTGCTAATACTTTATACTTTTTTGCTTTATACTTTTGTGCTAATACTTTATACTTGTGTTTTTTTGCTAATACTAATACTTTTTTGTTTTTTATGCTCTCTTCTATAAACAGACATAATTTCTTGTTTAGTTACAAAGTTCCACTGTTCAAATCCTGTAATTGCTGTGTCGAGAATACTGAGTAACTTGTCAATCGAATTTTTTTTGCTTTCAATAACCTCTCTGTCACTTACTTCACTATCGGAAGCGCGCATGTGTAAACGCTTTATGCACATTGCAAACGCATTACGTGCATGCGTAAGTTTGTGGCTTTTTGAGGTCCGGATTATAGATCATTACGGATAATGGACGTCCGGATTTTGTACTTTGTACTGTATTTTGGATGGCCAGTAGTGTATAACATTTAATATGTTTAGTGCTAAGGCTGTGCACGATGCTGAGTCTGTACAATTTGCTGATTTTTTTTTATCAAGTATCATAAATCATCTTGTTTATAAAATATCAAAAATATTTATTTACAAAAATCTGCATAGATGAGAACATAAAGTTATTTTGTACATTTAATTTCCACTTTAATATTCACACAGCCTTTACATTACACATTAAAATATTAAAAAGAAAACATATATGTCATATTGTAAACAAGAGTTTGTCCTTTTTATCTACCTTGGCATACTAAGTAACACACCAGATATCGAGAAGGATAAACAGATATATAAAATTTTAAAGAAATTATCCCAAGACATACCTCTTCTTGCAAATTTTCGCATAAACATGCAATGTCAGAAAGAAGAGTATTTAAACAAAAAGCAAAACGTTCACTGACTGGTATACCTATAATTAAAAAAAAAAGAAGAAGAAATGAAAAAAAGGCAGTTTTCATAAAATTGTGGGACAAAAATTTGAAACCTAATTTACACAATAATTTTACATAGACATTTTCATCTATTACATAAAAATACTACTCAAATATGAAATCACAAAATGCTAAATGCTTTTTAAATTAATAACAAAAATATATAAAAGAAAAGATTTTGAGAATATCACTTCATAGTTATCAAAATCAATCAGGCAACAAAGGTCTGACACAAAAGCTAAATTTTTTAGCTAAAATTATTTTTTTTAATGTTGATATTGCTGCTAAAAAATATCACTTAAAAATAAAACAAATTACATATACATACGATCTGTTTCATAAAGCCGTGCTTCTTCAACCCAAATTGCTTTTGTAAGGCCTCTCAATAGTTTCATTAAATAAGGATATATAATATCATGAAACTATAAAAAAAAAAAAAAAAAAAAAAAAAAACAAGTATTTATTAAAAATATTAATTGAGTATTTACATATTAATGCAACCATCTTAGCACGACTTATTGGGTGCAAGTGGTGGTTTTCACAAATTTTTTTGAAAAAGATTTCTAAACTATAGATATTTACTGTAAGTTGATCAAATAAGTATTATGTGATACATTAAAAATACAACACATTTTCCTTCAAATCTTTCTGTAATTTGCCCCCCAATCTTCTTCTCAAATACACAGCAATCTGTTTACACTTAAAAAAAAAATAAGAGAACTGCAGAGATACGGCACTGCATAAACACTGGCAATATCTGGTATCTACCAAATGCAAGTTGCCATTCTTCCCTTTACAGAATTTTGCATCAAAATTCTTGGGTTCCTAAAGAACTTTTACCACACTTTCTTCCATTACCTGCAAATTCCACAAGTGCATATTTTAAAATTACATTTAATGCATAAAATATAACAATATGTTTATAAAAGCCATTGGAATACGCAAAAAGAGCGCATGCAAAAATGAGAACATTGCTTGATTGAAGGATTGTTAAGAGCATGGTTGCCTGACAAATCCTTATGAGCTTGGTTGCCTGACAAATCCTTATGAGCTTGGTTGCCAGAGTTAGGCACATTCTGCAAATTTGGTTGCAATAGCACATAAACACCATTATTGGTATAAACATACGCACATAATTTTAAACATTTTAAATATTCTGTTTTGTTATATTTTGATTTTATATTGAATGCTTATATATTGGTTGATTAGCGATCAAATTTAGGGGGGCACTATAATAGGAATTAACAAGATACCAAGACTTTTTATTGTTTGACAGATTTTTAATTCATGTTTTTCCATTTTAGGTTCTTAACAATTTATTTTTTTAAAAATTATATTCAATTAAACTCAAAGCAGTAAGTAAATGACAATTTATTTACTCTGAACTTAATCAAGACAATTAACAAATTACAATAATAGATTGATACTACTAGAAACTGTTACTCTAATAAATAACAAAACTATAAAAGTTTCAAAAATTGATTAAAGGAAAATCCGTTTATATTTAAAAAAAAAAAAAAACTGGTTTTCCAAATTAAATAAATCCCTCCCCCCCAAAATGTACTTTCCTGTCAAATGCTTGCATTTACATAATACAATAAAAGCAACATGTGAATTGTTATAAAGTAACTAATATTAAACACATTTAATATCTAGACATTGTACCATATTTATACAATATGTATTATATTTATAGGATTACAACCAAACATGATAATATGAAATATATAATTTTATTAAAAATGGAACATTTGGTTCAGCAATTAAAACATATTTATAATGGTTGATAAAATTATATGATACAATTTTCTAGTACCTGAAATCCAGATGTCAAAAAGTATATGCCGAGAGCAAATACTGAATCTTGTCCTCTTTGATCAAATTTAAAGATACCTTGAGGGGATTCTTGTGGACACATGTTTAGTAACTGGTTGAACTAATAAAATAAAAATACATTTTAGTTGTATTTTGTGAAAAAAATTTATAATCTTAATTATATTCTCTGTAACATTATAACAATATCAATAGAAAATAAAAAAATAAGAATAAATAAATAAATAAATAAAAATCTGTAAATGAATGTCTTATCCATTAAATAGAAGCACTTTATTCTAAATCAGGGTTTCTTAAACTTTTTTCAGTTGCAATCCCCTTTTTATCACTGAGATTCTTTCGTGACCCCCAGGACCCCATAATATTTATGAAAATTTTGTAGGACCCCCATAAGCATTGTGCAAATCCAACACACGCTTGTGTGACACTGTCAATTGTTTCACTTGTACGATAATATCCTATTACAGTTTTAGATCATTAACTTTTAATTTTAAGACATAGAACAATGTGAAATTTTTAAATAAATAACAAATGAAATGACAGCATCACGTGCAAAGCAAGTAAAATGAACATTTTTATTATAGAAAGAATGTGTCGAAACGTTTTCCTTTTTTCTGTATCGTCTTATCTTTATCTATTTTCAGATATATTGTGTGAATAATTTGGTAATTGTAAAATTATTTTAATAAGTTAAAGAAAGATCTAAACTGCTAAATTTTTGGTGACTCTCTGGGGGTCATGACTCACCGTTTACAAAATGCTGTTTTAAATCATCAAAATTTTACAATGGCTCTATTTTACATAAATTTGTTTTTAAAAATTTGTTTTTATATTAAAAAGTGATGCATCACTTTTTAATATAAATAGATTTTTGAAATTTCAATTTTAATTATATTACCACAATGAATATAATATCCAAGCATCAGCTTATCATACATTATTGTCATCCTTTTAGTAGAGAAAAATGCATTTTTCATCTTAATGAAACATTTTTTAAAACAACAAAAATATTAAATTTTGAATTCTTTGGGAGAGTACATTCTGAAATCACAGTCATCTAAACAAGGTATAAGGTTACACTTGGTCTGGTACTGGAATTTTAGTCCTATAACCTTATTAGACAGGTAGCGAGTTATCATTATGTCTAAAATAGCACGACAAGACTTCAAAATGGTTTTAAAGGACCTTTTATTAAACTGGATGTTTAACAAAAACAGGGCAGCCTCTGCTTATCACAATCCAAATTAAATATCAACAGTCGCATTCTTTAAACATGATTAGTAGTCACCATGGCACCCGCTGATCGTTTAACATGTGCCCAAAGTTGTGTGATCACAATAAATATGTTTTAGTTTTCAATAAAATTCTATTCGAAAATTTTGTCATTTTTAATGAAATAGATATTGCATATAACAGAAATGTGACTGATCACACTCTGATTGGCACGAAGCGAAAAGCTGCTCATCTCTCTTTTTTTATGTACATGTATCCAACTATGAATTCACCTTAAAAAAGTAAATGGTGCCCCACAGTCCAAGATTCTGTATCCTAGAATGTGTTTTTAGGGACAAAAAGGTTGGGACCCCTGCTCTAGATTATTCTAGAGATAAAAATAGTAATCTTTTTATTAAAATCCTTTTCATTAAATCTGTACCTATTATAAATACGAGATACATACGTGTGAACCAAATATGAATGAACGATGAAACATTTTTTTATAAAAATCTTAAGTTTTAACCTGAAACTGCCCATTTAATATCATGCATAGTTTTTGACTGCAGATATATTAATTACATGCTGAAATTCCTATTATGTATATTAACAAAAAATTTTACGGGTAATAAAATTGGATTTCAGTAAACCTCTGTAATATTTATAATAGAGGTACTGTATATGAAAAGCTAATACAGTCAAAAGTCGTTAATCCGGACTCGTCGGGACTTCGGCGATTCCGGATTATCGATTTTTCCGGATTATAGATCATCAGTTTAAATCTGGTAAGATGGCATGCAGAAATTACAAAATTAAAAATGAAACCGTAAATTTATGAAATAAAGAACAATTATGATCTAAAGGGTATCAAAATTTACAAAAAGAAAAAGCTTAATATTTATTTGTTTACTTATTAAACATTTCCTTCAATGTAAGTTGCTTCGTTTCATGTTGATAATACTTTCTCTTTATATCTATTAAACCAGACATAATTTCTTGTTTAGTTACAAAGTTCCGCTGTTCAAGTCCTATAATTGCTGTGTTGAGAATACCGACTAATTTGTCAATCGAAATGTTTTCGTTTTCAATAACCTCTGGGTCACTTTCTTCACTATGGGAAGCGAATTATAATGACGAGGAACTTGATTTAAATCATAAAATCAAAGACAGAATGAAATACTACACTTAGTATGGAATTATAAACCAAATAAAATAAAAACATCTGCCCTGAAGATAAGGATAGTGTTGACAGATCAACTCCCAATCCGCCCGCGTGAAATTGATAAACAGATTTCGGATCTCAAAACATACTTTCGCTTTGTAGATACAAATTACATATTAGTAAATATATATCGGAAATTCTATTTGACATAATCTTTCTAATCTATCATAATCTAATAATGACGTTTCTGGTTTCCCCCCCCCCTCTGCCGCAGAGCAGCGTGAAATTGATAAACATTTCGGATTTCAAAACATACTTTTCGCTTTGTAGTAAATATATATCGGAAATTCTATTTGACATAATCGAACGTTCAAGCGTTACTTTTATAAAATTGTTCTGACAGTCTACAAAAAAAATAAGCCGGATCCAATTCGAAGATTAAGGAACAACGCAATCGGCAACATTAACTGAATTAGATAACTTTAGCTTAGCGTATAACTCCGTTACAATTTAAAAAAACGCGCATGCGCACAAACATATTCGCAGCCGTAAGGGTCTTACGCGCTCTCGTAAACGCCTGTGCGCATGCGTGAACGCGACGCATGCGCAGAAAGTTTGTAGCTTTGAGGTCCGGATTATAGATCATTCCGGATTATGGGTGTCCGAATTAACGACTTTTGACTGTAGTAACTTAGAAGTTATTCGTAGAAAAGTAGGCTGATCTTTGGAATATGGTAACTGGTAGTATGGCGACATTTTGGAGGCGATAAAGGTTACTACCTAGGACTTTGGTAATAATGTGAGAAGTACTCAGTTCCGATTACGCATTATTTTGCATGAGGGAAATGAGAGATCATGAGATATGTCATGTGACATTAATGGACGAATTACAGTTCTTTAATCGGAAAAGGGGAGAAATCTAGAAAAAATCTGGAAATTTTGTATTTAGCTTTATTCTGTGTTGTGTGAAACAGTGTTGGTTAATTTTTGGATTCCATGGCCCTAACTAAAGTGAATTCGAAATGGGTATTTAGGCATTGTGATAAAGAGAATTTCGCTTTTTATTTAGTGGAGGAAGTATGGAGGAAAAATTCGCAGAAAAAATCTTTCAATAATTTTATTGAATGAATTAGAAAAGTGTATCCGCCACGTAATCAAGATTCTGAAGAAGATTAGGTAAGTTAGTATTTTTAATTATTTGAGGATATTATTTTTATGCATTGTCTAAATGTAAGGAGTAAATAAAGTAATATGGTATTATTGGAAAATTGTTATTAGCAATGATTTAGTTTAAAGTAGTTAGGATTGTAAGCTAATTTTTATTAATTTAATGTATGTGCTTATTTATATTTTAAGTAGTGTTTTTGAATTTAATTACATTTTAATTAAATGATAGTTATTTTGTGAATTATATGTTTGTAGGAATTTGGTATACGTTTCAGTGGAAGTAAACGTGCATGGAAATAATTTAAATATTTGACACTAAGTATTTGTAACCATTTATAATGTTTGCGGTATGAATTCGTTGGTGACGTTTATAATATAATAGATAATTTAGAGGTAAAAGTTTTTGGATATTTATACGTGAATATGTTCATCTTTGGAAAGGGTATATACTTTTTCGTGATCAGGTAATTTCATATATGTTCTTTTTACTGGATTTAAAGATTCACAAAATTTTCATGCATTTTCGTGAAATTTTTCTAATTTATGAGAAAAAGCAGTGTACATGGATATAGTGAAGAGTGTGCGCAATGCCATTTTTGTGCAATTCTGGGATTTTTTTTAAGTAAAAATAAGTCTATGTGTACATGGTTTAGTGATATTTTAATTAAATGATAAGTTATTTTGTGAATTTTATGTTTGTAGGAATTTGGTATACGTTTCAGTTGAAGTAAACGTGTATGGAAATAATTTAAATATTTGACACTGAGTATTTGTAACCATTTTTAATGTTTTGTTATGAATTCGTTGGTGACATTTATAATAGATAATTTAGAGGTAAAAGTTTTTGGATATTTTATTTTATATTATATGTGGAAATGTTCATCGTTGGATAGGGTATATACTTTTTCACGATCAGGTTTTTACAGAGTTTAAAGATTCAGAAAATTTTCCTGCATTTTCGTGCAAATTTTTGTAATTTATGAGAAAATAGCAGTGTAGATGGATAAAGTCAAGACTATGTGCAATGCCATTTTTGTGCAATCTGGGATGCTTTTTTAAGTAAAAATAAATCGATGTGTACCTGGTTACTGTGTATGTGAGATTTTGAAAAACGCGGGAAGGAGTTTGCGATTCTGCACTTTTTCCCAATTTTGCAGTTAATATTTGTCATGATTAAGCAGTTTTGTTCCATAAAATTTTTAGCATAAGTGTAATTTGGCTAGCAGATTGTTGGAAAAAGTGTTGAGTAAATAAAAAGAAAAGAAACATGTCTTTACTTCGCGAAGACAAAATGGCGGCGAAAAAAAAATAGAGGGTTGCTGTAGCAGAGTTGGTCGCCAAAAAATCGCCAAGTTACCATAATCCAAAGATCAACCGAAAGGTACTTAAAAGTAACTTGTAAAATGTATGAAATTCTGTCTAATGGATCTGTATTACGATGTATAGCTAAAAACCTGACAACATGCAACATTCTTTACGTCTCAATGATTCCCTTTAATGTTGAAATTTAGTAATCCTTATGAATGAATGACAATGTACTGAAAACTACAATATTACTCCTGTATAATGGGCCGACCAGCGGCCAAGCGGTAAAGTCGCTGAACAATGATAGTTCGGTCCGAGATTTGAATCCTGCGAACGGGCTGGCTGCATGGGTGTTTTTGTGGCTTTCCTCATGTGTAATGTGTATACAAGCCAGTTTCCCTTAGAAAGTCCTCCATGAAGGCATCCCTACCTTTAGGCAGATAGCCCTGAGGCTTTGCCGTAATTTAAATAACCTAACCATAACCTGTATAACGGAATCAATAACATACACAGCATTTTTATCACTTTTCTCGCTTTCAATATAAATTAAATGGAAATATATTACAGTTCTTCACAAAACACATTTCTTCACAAACTAAGTTACCTTCAGTTACCTTTTAATCGAATATTAAAAAGCAAGCATTCAATTATTACACATAGTTAAGTTGCTCATTTATTTTCATGCGTTATTTAACCTCTGCACTAAGCTTCAATTATATCATCCAAGAGTTGTCCACCATAAGTATTATACAGCATTGCACCTAAAATTGCAGTGAATTTTCAAAATTTGAACATGCAAGTAAGCACTGAATAAAGCGGATATTTTTTTGCATAATAAACTTTATTAGCAGTAATTAAAGAGAAATTACATCAGAAGAATCAGTTGATTAATAAGTGTTTTACTACGTAAATGTTTAATAAAAAAAGTACATAATGTTGCAAAAAAAGTTCGCTTTCCCTGGTTAGGTAAGAACAACATAAATAATTCACAAACTATAAAATTGAAAACCTAATATTTATCGCAATTAAGAAAACACATTTTGAACATATGCAAGTTAGCACATTTTGAACACATTCAATTCCAAAGGCAAACAAGTAGTAAACGATTAAAAGTATAAACAGACAAGCAACATAACATTACTGAGAAGTATTCATAAATAATGATATATTTACTTTTTCCCATGGAGTAGGTTTCAGACTAGCCAGAGATCGTGCTAACAGTTGAACTGCATTGAAATAAAATTCTTTGCTACTAACACCAGCCATTTCGGCTTGGAATCTTTATTTTCTAAATGTAACTGCAAGAGGAAGAAGGAAAACTGATCTAAAAAATTTGTTTCATTGGGTCAAGGTTTTTTCGCATAGAATCCCTAAGAATCCATGCATAAGAATACACAGTTACATTATCTTCATCCATCATTAGTACAAATATTGTTAACCCTCAACATCCCACAACAAAAATAGTTGACATAACTACCGATAATACTGCGAAAATGTTCGTCTGCTGCGAAATACCAGGATGAAGGCGGAGAAGGTAGTTGAAGTTGTATTCTTCCGGCGATCCTTAAAATATATTATTCAAAAGTTGAACAAGCGATATAAAGAAATTTGAAAGGGGTAGAAATTTGCAGTCTTTTACAGTAAACGGAATTATCTTACAAACCACTTCCTTCCCTTCTTTTTTTTTTAGACTGCTAATAATTAATGTCCAACAAAAACAGTCCACCATTATTAAAGTACGGGAAAATTTTAAAATCTTTAAACGAAAACAGCTAAACAATCTATTACACCAATATTACAAATATTTTATTCACAAGGATCCCTACTGGAGGGACTACGTATTCAAGCCTATGAAATTAAAACCTCAATATGGATTTGATTTATTCAAAAAGTCCTGGATATTAAGAAATACTTGAGATTCCACTCTTGATAACCAGAAACCCTTTAAAGGGTGATTAATGTCGAAATAAGACTAGACCTAATATAAGCCATTCATAGAAAGAGAGATGTTGCACCAAGTCTTTTGAAATATCGCGATTTTGATATCATTGCGGCTAGATATCCACCTACTCAGTGGCTCCACATTTTTACGGATGGTTCTCAGTTTGATTGTCATTTTAAAGTTGGGGCTGGTGTGTTTTCGAATCTTTTTCTTTTTTACTCCCCTGCAGGATACATTGGTATCTCCTTTGATGGTGAAGCAGTATCCATATTCCATTCCTAAAGCAATTATTAGCTATTTTGCAAAGGCAGTCTTTTTTCTGATCTCACGTAGCCATTCAATAATCAATTAGCTCTGTTGAAACAACATCGACTCTAATAGAGTCAGTACTGGCTGAATACCCATTAACACCTGAAACTTTGCATTGACAAGGCTTCCTGAAAACTCTCACTTTAAAGGGGAAACAAATCGTGCTCCAACGGGTGCCTGGTCATTGTGGCCTTTGAGGCAATGAACAAGCGGACTTCCTTGCAAAAAAAGGTGCCAGCTTAACTATAACATCCTAATACAGCCAGATCTAATCACAGGATTAAAGAGTTTTTTAAAAAAATTATTTGCATACAATATCTTACGAGATCTTCAGAATCGTACAGCCTCAAAAAGTTGGAGAAGGTTAAGTCCTTCTCTTATTCCCGATAATCCAAGACGTAATGCAGTTACGGCTTTCTATCTGTCTACAGGACATAATTGCCTTGCCGCCCTCATAGGCATTTCAAGCGATCCTATTTTCCTCCCTTTGTGATTCTGGAGAAGAGCCGAGATACTGTTTTTTTTTTTTTTTTTTCCTAAGTTCTATTGTTTGTAACCTCTGTTTATAAGATTTTAGTTCTTTGTAACTTTTTGCCTACTCATCGGAAATTTTAAAAAAAAAATAGTTTATTCACAATCAAAATTTTATGTTCTTGATTAGAACTCGAAGGGCAAAACAAATTTGGCTTTCGAACAAAAAAGCAGACTGGTAGTCCAAAAACTTACAATCAAGGTTGCAAGTTTCATCGGTCGGTTTGGTACTAAATGTGATTAATACAGAAACATTGCAGTAGAGCTAAGAGTTGTTTTGATTCTCAGACATCGAGAAGAATAACTGAATAGCGTTTTTATAAACAAAAGTTAAAAATGTGATTCGTAATGAAAGGCTACGATGTACAGTGGTTTTAGAGTAGATTGTGTATAAGGGTTTTAGCGAATTGAAAAGTCAGTCATTTTAACGCCACTTGTTTATGTATGTGTAGTTTTCAAATAATACATTTTATATAATGCAATCTAACTTTACGTTAAAGATCTGTCACGGCACTAAAGTAGTGTCAATTACCCAATACTGTCAATTAAATGGGAATGCAATGGCCTTTCATTCAGAGAAATGAAAAGCTGTAACAGCTTAATATTGTTATTAAAATAATATTATTAAGTTGTTAAAATAGTAGTTGTCAAGTTGAAATAATTGTTATTAAAATAATATTAATATGTTAATGGCAATGTTTCAAACGCAGGCTCGAGAGCCACGTATGGCTCTCGCACGAAAAATGTATGTTTACTATATTTTTTTAAATGTTAGAATACGTTTTCTCTTATTGTTTGTATCTGGCTTTTTTTTTAGCGTTGAATAAAATTATTTTTGCTGTGTTCCATCATTGCAGTTTTCTTCAAATTACGAAGAAGTATCACAAAGCTTATCTAGCTTTCGACTTCTACTACTACAATCACACAGTCTTTACAACCGCGATTTGTTACTGTAGCGAAATACTCGCACTTATAACTAAACTAAAAAATATCACTAAGATAAAAATAGCGCTGAGAAGCGCTGCGCAATTGGCTTATTGTTGCAGAAAATGATTTGCGAATTCTTGTTGCATATGTTGATAATTTGTTCTCGTGTGATATTTTCTGCTAAATGATGTTTTCGGAAAAAAAGGTAATACTAACAGTTTCGTACCTCAGTGTACTTCAAAAGGTTCCAAAAATACGGAACTAAGTTTCCATAAACTTCCGAATACAAAGAATAAGTTAGAAAAGCCGTTCTTTGCATGTGACATTCTTCTTAGCCAAAAGAGGAATGGATTAGATCAGTGATCTCAAATTCAAACTGCATGCGGGCTCAATGCACGATCTAAAACAGCTGACAACTCAGAATATTTTAAAATTAAAATAAAAATATGCTATTCAGAAAATTTAAAAAAAAATTAATTTTGAATTTCTCTTACAGTTTATGTATATTTATTAAAATATATATAAACAATAGGAAAAAACTCAAATGTATATTTATTTTCAGATATTGTTCGGAGAACAGCCTTGATGCCAAATGCATCAAGGCTGCACTTATGGCAAAGTTTGGGGGGAGAAACTTTGCAAAAATCTGTCCATCAGAAGACTTTAGCACGCTTGTTGCTGGGTGAGAAGGTGCGTTGTCGATCAATAGCACAGCTTTTCAGGCAGGTTTTTCGATTTAAGATGTTTGCGCACTTGAAGAACAAAGAGTATTTCGAACCATTCTTGAAAAATGTTTCGGTTCATCCATTCTTTTTTTTTTTTTTTTTTTTTTTTTGGTTAAAGTAATCAACGGGCCAATTTTCTATCCTTCTGCCTGTGAAAGATCTCGGTTTTTTTGGCTTTCCAATGATATCAAGTCTAAGTTTATGTCCACCGGTAGCGTTACTGCAAGACATGATAGTGATCCTTCCCTTGCTGCTTTACTTTCACTTTCAAATGCTAAACTGCGAGTGGGAAGACATTTCCACCAAAGTCCCGATTCGTCGGCATTGGAAATTTGTTCAAAAGATAGCTCTTCTTTTAAAACAAATTCTTCAAATTCATCGTGGAAATCGTCGGCTGCTTGTTGGTCACCAACAAGTTTCTCCCCATGAAGTCCAATTTCTCGACTTCCATGTTGCTGCTTAACACGAGTCAACCAGCCAGAAGACGCATCAAAATTTCCTATCAGGCCTAACAACTCGAAAAAGGTTTTTGCCTTCGTCGCAATGATAGGACCATTTACAGGAGTATCCTCTTTTCGAACTTGAGCTAACCACTCTGTCAATGCCATGTCTAGCTCACCAAAGGTAGAACCCTTCATAGTTTTTCGCGTTTTCATTGCGGAAGCACTGTCCGACATTGATGCAAAGCTCACTAATTTGTCGTTTTGCTTTAGAATGTCACGCACTGTTGTTTCCGCGATTCCATAATCCAATTCCATCTGCTGCCTTGTAGCGCCAATTGCTACTTTGGAAATTAATTCTAGTTTTTGGGCAATCGTCAACACAACCTTCTTTCGTTTTCCTGACATTTTAAATCGGAACCACACAAAACCATAAAGCACAAGCACTAATTTCAACAAAAGATAAGAAATTAACTCCGACCGGTTCACAAACACTATCAGGCTTAAACTAACAATGGCGAGTGGGAGGAAGGGGACGTGTCAATTAAGTTACGAGGACGTGTCAATTAAGTTACAATTAAGTTAGGACGTGTTAAGACGAGAGAGGGCGGTGGAGCGGGCACTGTAATGGTGAGTAAGAAATCACTTACTCATCAGAGGGGAAGGTTACGAGAAGGCCTGGAATATTTTTGCTATAAATAAGCACGATGTTAGCAAATTTAACGTTTTGCTTAGTTTTGTGAACTTTTTTATTTTCTTTGTTTTACGCTTGTAAAAAAACTTTCTGCGGCAGCCGTGGATAATCCGCAGCCGATAATCGGGAGTCTACTGTACTATGATAACTCGTATAAAGAGCGATACCATATTGGGGGAAAGTGTAGTTCCAGATTTCAGAAAGCAGAGAAAATACTGTTTAAGTCGTTTCGTTATATCAGTGTATTTCTTGTATTTTTAAGTATTGACCTCACTACACAGATCTCGAGTATACTATTTCACGGAAAAAAGCCTTACTTGACGGTATTAAAAATCTCTGTGATATGTTTTAATGGCGCGTATATGCTTATATGTTATTTTAATTTGGAATATGACCATAATTCTTCCTAAAACTCATAAACTGCTCCGACTAGCAAATTGCTTAACTTTGTCTGTTTAAAACCCTTTAACGGTTTTTTTCTCGTTTTTTTCTCGTTCTGTTATGTATTTTCTCGTTCTGTTATGCAGGTCTCTTAACGGTTCGTTACGGATTATTGTTAGTTTAAATGTTCCCTCGAAAACGGACAGTCCCGTGTTTTTGTATTCGTGAAAAAACACGCCAAAAACGACTAGCCCGTATTTTTGTATGTCTTCCAACCCCCAATGCCTAAGGGGACAAGGGTCCATGCAATCCTGACGACAATAGGTGGGGAGCGGACAATGGGTGGGAACATTAGCGTGGGGAGAAATCTTCTTGATGTTTTGGTATGAAGGCCTTACACTGACTCTTCTAAAGAAACAAATTTATTACCAGTTACAAAGTGGATGCATATATAAAGGAATTTAAGAATTTCCCTTTTAGAGCAGTTATTGAATAAAAAATAGAATTTTTACAATATGAGCGTTTACCTATAAGAGCATTAATGAATTAAAACGAGAAAAA